GATGTCAGCCCGAGAATCCATTGTTGGCCCCTTACGGGTGCGCTTGGTAGTTGCCCTTAATGGGTTTTGGGTCACCAAAATCTAGGCGAGCAAAATGGGTCTTGTGGTTAACCTTGCCTTTGAAAATGGTTTTGGTATAAATAAGATCAATTTGTGAAAATAATTAATAAACAGCAACTGAACTTAAATCATTCAATCGTTGCTTCAAAAAATTAAATATATCAAGGGATAACAAATTATAAATTGTTATAGAACAAAATGAACAACTTCCAGCTGCAATATTAGCTGTTTTATCATACAATTTCAACCATAAAGCATAATGATTTAATTCTGAGAAAATAAAATAAAAAAGTTACTCCCTCGCTTGGCTGCTAGAAATATAAAGCCTTTATGTTTTCTTTCACAGAAGTCTTCAATGCTTTCAACGAAGTGTGTGTCATCAGGTTGTCGCTGTTGAAAGTGCTACACTAGCTTACAATAGTCTGGCTTCCACTCTGCGATGTATTAAGCTAGCCTTGGCTTCGAAAAAAAAATAATAAAGCTCTCCCCTTAAGAGCATGAATCAGCATATGATGACTTCCACAGAAACGGAAACATAAACATGCATTTCATTTTGGGGGCATGTGCGAAACGAGAGCTAAATGCAGCTGAAGCAAAAGCGGGCAAAAGCAGCACGGCAGCAGCAACATCCACTACCGGCAAGGTTGCCTTCACGTACACAGCATAAAATCAATAATCCAACACACTGCCACAGCGGATTGCACCGCTGCAACGCAACACTAGCAACGCTGCGACGCACCACTGTCAACAGCCAAGTGGCAGTGCATTAAAATTGTAAACTTGAACAGCAAACAAAAGCCACAAACAGACGACGATCCACATTCACATCCACATCCACATCCATATCCACGTCGGATTGGACCCGGCTCGAAAGGAGGAGGTGGAGCTGCAAGACAATGTTGGCTGGCTGGAATTGTGCGCATTTGGACGCCGGGTATCCGGCTTATGAGCCCTCTGCCTTTTGGCCGTCCCCCCGACTCCTGGCCATTTCAAATTGTGCGTCACGTACACGCATAATGGGCCAAAGTAATGAAAACATATGAACAGACACGCAGGATGAGGAAGGTTGGGAGCCCACTGGCTGGGCACTCGCAATTGCAAATGCACAAAATAATAATTTCGCAATACGCGCAGTTCAATTACAACCAGCAGTTGCAGCAGCAGCAACAAAATCAGCAGCAACAAAAGCAGCAGCAGCAGCAACAGCAGCAGCAACAGCCACTGCAACTGGCTATCATTCTAGGCATTTATTTTACAATGCATTGCCGTAATATAATTGATATGCTCTAAGTAATTGGCGCTGACCACGCGAGCAACTTTTCATGTTGCTGCCGGTGATTCTTGGAGTTCGCTTATAGCTGCTGCTTGTGCTGCTGCTGCTGCTTGTGTTGCTGTTGCTGTTTGCTGTTTGCTGCTGCAAGTGAGAGATCAAGCAATCGATTTGTATATCGACGGGATCGATCGATCGCCACACTGGCGACACGGCGGACCACCCCGCCAGGAGTGGCGCCTAATTGCAGGGCCGTTTGCAGTTGCAACATCATGCCATCAATGCCAACAGCGGCAACTACATCATTTTTAATGCCCTAACTCGCTGTTCGGCTGTTAAATTTTGTTTATAAATCAGAGAGGGGCACTTGCATTTTGTGTGTGTGTGTTGTGCTGCTGAAAGCTTTACGTTTCGATGTCGCCAACAAGAACTGCCATTTAGGGGCAATTAGACTTCGATTTGAGTCGATGTTGCTGGTGTGTGTTGGTCCTGCGAGCGCCATTAATGCCGAGTGCAACAAATCATGGCTGCAATTAGTGCGTGTTTATGACTTTCGGCTGAGAGGGCGCCGTTTCAGCGCTCAATATTTTTTCCAGCTTAGTTTGGCCAACTCCCCCGTTGGTCCACCTTCCCCTTGACTTTTGCGAAACGTTTAGGCCGCCGACAATTTGCATGCTGCAGGAACAGCAGCAGCAACAGCAATAGCAACAGCAACAGCCGCAACATGGAGCCACCGCAGCAATCGATGATGGCCAGTCCATCGAGTGGCGTCAATAATGGCCTGTCGTTGGCTATAAACGCCCGCTGGCCATATTGTTTAGCCGATAGTTGTACTTGTTCGTCTCGTCCGCAGCACTAATTGCCGCATATCGATGTGTGTGCGCGTAATGGCATAGATCATGCTAATATAATTACACGCTGGACAGCAGCAGCAACATGGTCGGGACGCATCAAATTTGATATGAGGAAGAGATCCAGCTGGTCGCTCCATAATAATTGTTCGGAATTAAGCTTTTAAGAAAAGGATCTTTAGATTTACGATTGCTGGCCGCCTTCGGTTTTCTACAGTCTTCAGTCTTGGCCTATAAATAATTTCTATATCAAAGGCCGGCTTTGATGATGGCCTGATTTGGCTGCGGGGCATTATCTGCGACTAGTGATATATCAACTGGCCGGAGCGCAAACGAATATTGCTGCTGACGCTTTATCGCTGCCAGCCAAGTAATGCAATTTTCGGCAGCAGCAACAACAAGGCGAAAAATCGAAGAAAAATATAAAATAAAAGAAATGGAGAGATATTCGCCTATGCTTGAAATTCCAAGGCAAATTGCGGGCAAGCGGCCACAATGCTCCTCCATGTTGCATGTTGCTAGCTGTTGCTGTTGTTGTCGCTTGTTGCGCTTTCGTTGCTGTTGTTGTTGCTGTGGGTACGACGAGCAACATCAACACAATTCAGCGTCATCACAAACATCAATTGACCCTTCGGTGCTTCAGGATCAAGCGTAATAATCGCCGGCATAAAAACGCTTTGCACTTTTGCGCCAGAATAATGGTTGAAAGGTTGCAAGTTGGCAGTTGCAAGTCGCCAGTTGCTGGTTCCCAGCATATGTGCCTTGACCATGGCTTTTTTTTTGTAGGAACCTAATGTCATACCTTTTCGTATGCATACAGAGCCACAAGTAAAGAAATATATTTTATACCTTTTATTAAGTTATTTTATTAAACATAAAAACATGATTTACGAAATGAATAACGTTCTCTAATTTCTAATCCCACTACTTAATAATCGCATGTAAATTATATGTGTAAAATTTTTTAAAGCATGACTGTATCGGTTTCATTGAGGCAGACGGTGTCCAGGAAATACCTTGTGTTTCATCCATGCTTCGATATCCTGCCACCAGCTCCATAATCCACTCTATGGGCCTTTTTTGCCACTTTATTTCCATCCTTCATTTCGGAAAAAAATCCTTTATTCAGGCTGCGAGGATGGCCGAGAATAGCCGAAAAAATTTAGTTCTGGGTTATTTTGTCTGTTTCGAGTTAGCTACGTCGTTGGAAAACATGACGAAATGGATTCATTCATCAATATACATGAGACAGCACGGCGATGAGATTTAGGATTCACGAGTGGCTTTTTTATATCCTGGCAAAGGGTATTGTTAAGTTTGACGGGTGAATATAACATGATTTTTAAAAGATTGAAATACTGTAAAGTATTTTGTAAATATTTTATTTGATACCTTCACAAACTCTAGTGCTTAACCCATTTAAATTTAATTAGAAATAAACTGAAGGGTATTTTAAATCCGAGTCACATCACCATAAATTCTTCCATGGTTTTATATTGTGCAGTTTCTTTTGCTGAATTTTTATAGCACCCGCCCATGGGGTCAATTCTGCACGCTGGCTGTCATGTGTGCCCTGACCAGAACCCAAACCCAAACCCAAAGCCCAAAGCCCAGACCCAGACCCAGACTCCAAGCCCATGCCCAATCCCAAGTCCATGGACTCATATCCCGGGTATGGCAAAGCGAAACGAGTGCAACACGAACTGTTTAATGGACTGGGCATGCACTTTGGGCAGCGTTCAGTTCCTCAAAAAACTCGGCTCCGGTCCCAGATGGAGCCTCCATTTCATGGCCATGTGAGAAGAAGACATCTGGGTCCCAGACACTCTTTTCCCGTCGAAGTGTGTGTGTAGGTTAATCAGCTTTGCCAGCGGGCTTTTCATCAAAGAGCGGGCGGCACCCACACAGGCGGCACTGGATTGGGAGGGGAAACACTTGGAAAATTCTATGATCAACAAATGATCCTTACAAATATTACATATATGATTACATATAAAAAATCAATCAGATATCATAATACTCTAAAACTGTAAAGGATCGGTACAGTTCTATAAAGAAGTAATTATTATAAAGTTTTCATTCATTGAATGAAGGAATTAAAGCACGCAAATCCTTATTAATAAAAATATTGAATTACCATCTGTAATCTTATTTCTTAAAACGCACATAAATATATATTAAACAAACAAGCTTTTATAATACAATTATAATACAATTCCCAAAAGAAATGCTATTAAAAATAATTTAAAATTAAAATTTTTTCTCTTTTGAGAACTATATTTTTGGAGTGTATTTTTTTGCAAAGAGAACAGATTAAGCATACGACGTGTTGTGCAGTTATCATCGAGATGGCAACGATTCCTAACGGAACGCCGTGCGTCGTCCCATGGCGGAGGTCTGTCCCCCATCCTCCGCTCCATCCACGCCGGTAATTTATGATTCGCAGCGCACGGCCTGCAAATGATCTATTGCCCATTGCAGTTATCCAAGCGGAGGTGTAGGTGAAGGTGGTGGAGAGCAGAGGACTTTGGATCGGCACTTGTTGCATCAGCATCAGAACACTATAACAGCCACAAGTGATTTCCTTCGCATCGGAGCCTCCAGGCGCTCCTGACAGTTACAAAGTGCGCCCACTAGTTGGCGGTCAGGTTAAAATGACCCAAACCATAAACCCAAAGCCAGGCACAATGCATACATGCGTTGTCGACGCCATCTCCCAACCTTTGATTAATGGACTTTTCGTGTTGGCTTCGATTCTGGCTCCGGCGTCATAAATAAACTTAAAAATGCAACAACAGGCAAAAGGTGGAGCACGTCGGTCCCGAGCATATTTATCATTGGTAAACTTTATTCTTTACATTTACATACAACGCGTTAAAAATACTTGTCCAATTTTATTTACTTTAGTATTAAAATTTTTTTTTGGGCTTATCCGTATGGTTATAGTTATTGAAGTGCTTAAAATTTTGTGAAATATTTGTTTACAGTAATAGAAATCTATGTAAATTTTAAACTATTCTGGCTACTATAAGTTACGATTGTGTGTCCCGGTGGAGCGCACGGTTGGGAGAGCTACAAAACGTTAGAATGCCGAAGAGCATGTTAAAGTTCTATACAATTCGAGCTGACTTTGCTCGTTCCATTGCTTTTGCTGATGCTAATCCTTTTGCGGTTGCGTCTGCTGTTGCTGGAGTTTCTGCTGATTGCTTAGACCCACTGATCTCGACCTGCTGCTTGGGGCACTATAAGGACGGCGGATCGTACTGGAAGCCCGGGTTATTGAACTTAAAGCGCGCAATCTCGAACTGCAGTGTCTCATAGTTGATGTCGGCCAACCGCTTCAGCTGATGGGCGATCTGCTGGGCATCGTTGCTGCTCAGGGCGGCACTAAGAGTACTGGGCTCCCGCTCCAGTTTTGTACTGTGCAACGGCGGAACTGGCTGCATGTTTGAAATGCACCGCGTCGCATTTTTAACTGAAATAGTTTCATAAACAAAAATGTAGTAGAGGAGAATTAGATACTTTTACATGCAATAATTTTTTACTTAATATCTATTATTATGCTTATCCATACCCTTTAGGTAGGGTTTTCTTATTAAAAAAGAAATAGTTACCTTCATAGATGATTTGCTCTCGGGGCTGTGTACGCATCCTTTTAACGGGCAGTTCTCCATTGATAAGCTTATTGCCGGAGGAGGCAGTTCCCGAATTGATAACAGCAGCAGTCTGCCTTCGAGACGTAACGTATTCGACGGCGTGCGGCTGCACGCTTGGGCCTTCGTCGTCTACATGGTCGAAGGATGTGTTGTCCACGACGATGGTGCGATAAGTGCCGCCGCCCGTGTTGACCGCTGTGGTAGATGCCGTGATACCGGACTCCGCCAGGTTCTCCTCTATCATGTCATCGTGATCGACATGCTCCTCCACCATTTCCTCGTCGTCCACCTCATCGTTGATGGCCTCCTCGACGGCGGCTTGCAGTTGCTTTTGAAACGCCGCTGAAGTTCGCTGACCCAGATCCTCCATTTCGTCTTCGTGCTCGTCCTTTTCGGACTTTAAGTTTAACAGCGTTTCGCTGGTGGTAGTGGGCACCTTGCCGAAGAGATCCAGTGCACGGGTTTCCACGGAGGTCATCGATATGTCCTTTTCCGTGGACAGAAGACTACGTCTGTATTTGCAGCGCGTGGTGTTCTTCCAGTCATTAAGTCGCTGTTTTCAAGGGAAAGGGGATTAGCGGTTAAAGGGGAGAATTCAAGGTATGCCTTCTGCTTTTCACCTTGCGCCATTCCTCCGGCGTTAGTGTGGGTCCGGAACTGCACTTGTTCAGCCGGTCGGAGAGCTCCTTCCACTTTTTGGTCAGATAGTTCAGGTCGTAATCGCGCGGCACTCGCCCGGTGGCGAAAATTGGGTCGCTCTCCATCATGTCGATGTACATTTGATACTGCTCCGAGGAGGTGCGTTTCTTGCGGCGATCCATCTTGCCGGTCATTCGTCCTTTCTGCTGTGTTTCTGTTTCGGTGTTTTTATTGCTAAATCTCTGGCAAAAGCCTTCAAATGCAAATCGACGCCACCAAACGATGCGAAGTGTTCACAAACAATTGCAGGCGTTTTGGATTTTCTAGCGGATTTCAGTTGTTGGCGTTCAGTGTTGTATTCCGTTTGTTAGTGGTGCGCGGTTGGCGGGAAACGACAGTTGATAACGGCAGTCGATAGTTATAGCATAGCATTTGAATTCGACTTCATTTGCTACTTAGGCCGCATTTCCTGTTTAAAAAAGTTTAAATATAGTTTTGTAAAAGTATTTGTTTTGATTGCCAGCGGAAAAATGATACTAATAAGAATATTTGAAGGAAAATATTATTTAAAGTTGTTTAATTTAATTTCCATCACATTTATTAATGAAACACGATAAAATTGTTATTTTAACATTAAGGTAGACATCAAATCAGACCATATATTACTAGTAAATACATTTAATAATTTTAAGATGTAAAACCATCTTTAAAATATTTAAAACAAAAAGTGTAGGTTATTCCTGTAAATAATACGTAAAAATTGTGATTTCAAAGAAAAACATGTATTTTGTGTTCTTACATTGTTTTCCTTGGATTATTAAATGTTTTTATCATCGTATTTTGAAATTTTTTTTCTGTGGTTTTGAGAGGCATATGTGCGATGTGTAGAGCCTTAAAAGATATATCCTGTCAACAGTCTTGTGAACGCCTTTATTAGTTCAATGTACATCAATAAGGTACAAAAAACATGTATTTTTGTGTGACATTAAATTTTTTAACGAATTAACAGGTCCCCCCATGCTTATATACAAAAATGTGCATTTGATTAGCAATACTACTTAATCTATATTTCCGGGACATAATCGAACCCGGGATTGTTGTATTTGAAGCGGGCTATCTTGAAGTGCAAAGTTGCCTCATGAATGTCCGACAAGCGTTTTAGCTGCTCCTCAATTTGTTTTCCATAGGACTCAGCAGCTTCTTTCGAGGTGGGTTGTGGTGGTGCTGTTGTTACTAAAAAGAAAATATCAATTATATAAAAGTTTGACCCTTTTCTGGCAAGATTATACCCTGGTATAAAACCTCCCCAGAACTGTCTAGTCGTATCCTTTTGCCTGAATTTCTACCATTGATGAGCACTGGGGGTTCTGTTTCCTGAGGCACTACCGATTCGTGGTACTGCTCATCATCCTCCTCTTCCGGTTCCTCCTCAACTTCTTCTTCTTCCAACTCGTCATTCTCGGCCACTGTTTCCTGAAAACGTTCACTTGCTGGAATTTCTCGGTATGTAGGCTCTGAGGAGAATATGTGAAGAGCTCGTTTTTCCAAAGGTGTTAAAAAGTTGTTCTTATCATCTGAATTAAGCAAGCGTCGATATTTGGATCGCGTTGTATGCTTCCAGTCATTTAGGCGCTAGAAACAAGAAAAAAGATTTCTAAGTTCCGTGAGGTAATGCATGTAAGCAATATAACACCAACCTTTCGCCAATCCTCTGGCGATAAATGGGGCCCAGTGGTACACTTGTTCAACTGATCACTCAGTTCCTTCCACTTTTTACCGTCCTGAGTGCGACTCAATTTGTTGGCCGACATCAATGGATTGTCCTCCATGAAGTCGAGATAAATCTCGTACTGGAAATATGATGTCCTCTTATTGCGGCGGTTCATTTTGGCCATGAATATTCGCAAACAATTGAAAACAAGCAAATTTAAAACGACGCCAGAAAATAGTGGTGGGATTACGTTGATGAAAACATCGATGACCTCTTCAAAGCCACGAACGGACAACTAATCGATAACTCGTATGGTGCAGCTTCGAAATTTTAAATACCAAAATTTTATTTTACTGCATTGCCATTTAAAAATAATAGTTTTTAATGAAGCACCCAGAACTTGTGTGATATACTCATGTAACTCTGTGTTATTTCTCAGCGTTGTGAAATTATATTTATTCAAATACTAAAGCAATACATCAAAGTAGTCTAGAAATTATTGAAAATCTCTGCCAAAAATAATAACATATCCAAGAATTTTACTTCAAAAGTAAATCCTTTTTTTCTGTAAAGAAAAGAAACGGCATAACTAATTTAGTTAATTTTTTTTTAATATTCTACGAAGTCTTCAAAAAGAAAACTTTTTTATGCTGTTTTCCATAGCGCTCAACATTTTCCGGTCTGCAGCGAACGGTAACACCTTTGTGCACAAAAAGTCGAATTTCCTGCATTTTCGAGTGTCAAATTATCAAAGTTATAGTGCGTTTTATGGTCTGAAAATAGTTCCTTAGCACGCTACAGGCTACTGACTACCAAATAGGCCGGTTGGGACTTAAGAAAATGTTGCCAGTGGTACGAAAAATACCCGTGGAAAAAGACGCATGAGACTCGAATTGCGAACCAGATGATAGAGTAGCGTGCCAGAGAGAGCGAGCGAGAGAGGAACAGAGCAAGAGGGAGAACGAGGAGGCCAGAGTAGACACAAAACTCCGAGCGGAGTTCTCGCCCATTTTCCGGCCGATTTTGCAGAGTATATAGCTGCCATATAGTCCCCAAGATGGCAGAGGAGGTGCCGGGGGGCAATAACGGCAATGTGCCCGATTCCGGAGCGGAGGATGCTAACGCCTCGGTGATCGTAGAGCCGGGATCCGAAGGATCCAATGCCGGAACTCGTACCCTTCCGGCAGCGGCAATGAAGTTTGCCGATCTCACCGAAAGTGGCAGCGAATCCGGGGACAACGAGGCTGAGGACTCTGCAGTCACGGCTCCAGAAAATGTCGAAGCCAACGGTGAGCCGGGAACAAGTGCATCCGCCACAGCAGAAACTGCAGCAGTGCGCTCCTCGCCGCCGCCCAATTGCGCTATCTGTTTGTCCCGCTGCCGCAGAAAGTGCTTCACAGACTCTTGCATGCACCAGTTCTGTTTTAAGTGCCTCAGTGAGTGGAGCAAGGTAAGCAATTCACCGGATTATTATGTGTAGAAGCAATCCTCTAAAGAAATTTCCCTTCGTACCAGATCAAACCAGAGTGTCCGCTTTGTAAGCAGCCATTCAAGACAATTATACACAATGTCCGCACCCTGGAGGACTACGATCGCTATCCGGTGCAGACCTCTTCGCCAGTTCTGCCTGACCATCCTGCCCTCCGCTTCCACATCGTCAGGCGTCCCAGGTACATGCCACTGGTGCAGAACCAGGCCGCCATGACCAACGACATAGAGGCGGGTTATTCAGCCGATCCAGCGTTAGAGGAAGTCATTGCCGCTGGCGAGGTGGCAGCCGGCAGGCACTCGTACAGCCGTTTCGAGCCCTACCGCATGGAGCTGTTGAACTACTATAGGAACGACCAGGATGCGGCCACCTCGCGCTCGTTGAGCCAGCTCTGGCGGCGCTATGTGTACGATAGAAAACTGTATGCCCTGCCCGTAAGCGACAGCTTGACGGGACACTTTCGCGAGTGGAGTGCCCGCTTTTACAGGTGCTTTTCAATAACTTCTGCACTTCTGGTCGCTTACTAATTTTGATTTAAACTCTTCATTGCAGAAACAATCCCGCCCAGATGCATCGTCTGATGCCTTGGATTCATCGCGACATTGTTTGTCTTCTGAGAAATGCCGCCCATAGCGTAAGCACTGTGATGCAGCTGATGAACGACATCCTGCCCATGACCAACATTCTGGGACCCACATTCCGTCGCCGATTGGCGCCGTTCTTGGGCGAGCGCACCAGCCACTTTATCCACGAGCTGTTCAACTTCGCCCGCTCCCCGTTCGACATGGTCGGCTACGACCATGTGGTCCAGTATTCGGCACGCGTGGCCGAGGAAGTTGAGGTGGATCTGCTGGACATGGTGGAGACGCAGTCGTCGAACGGCAGTGATCTTCACCTGGAGGTGGGTGACGACGATGCGGAGGGCGGCTATGCGGATTTCTCGAACGACTGGGAGCCCCCCAGTGGACGTCCGTCGACCAGTGTGATTGTAACGAATCCCGGTGCCACACATTCCTTCAGCGTGACAATGGCCAGCGATGGCAGTGAGCTGCCGGGCATCTCTATACGCCGTACGACCACATCCAACGTGGGCTCCCAAACGGTGGCCATCAACCTAAGCATGCGACGTCCAGCGGCGTCTGCGAGCGAGGAGGCGGAGATCATAGAGATAGACGACGGCGATGCAGCCGCAAATGCAGAGGTGGCGGCCATCAACAATGGGAGCAATCCCAGCGGGAGACACGCTGGCGCCACTCTCCCTGTAAGTGCCCACATCGAACTGGAAAGCAGCAGTAGTTCTGGCGACGAAGACGAGTGTGTCTTTGTGCTTGAATTGAAGCCACCACATCTGCGAACTCCCGAGCAGGTGAGCTTGGACTCGAATAGTGACTCTGATGTGGTTTTTGTCAACGAGCAGAACGAAGCTCCCCCGGCTGCTAGTGTCAGCGATCAAGCGATACTTTCGCCGGCTGATCAAACCTCCAGAGATCAGGGATTGTTCATGGGCCCCAGCACAAGTGCGGCGGCCAACAGGGGCAAGAACTGGAAGTTGGTGGTGGCGGAGGCGCGTCGACTTGATCAGTTGCGCACAAGGCGCTCGACCCGTTCAAAGAGATCGCGCCAGCGGTCCTCCGCCCCTGCCCGAAGTGCCAGAGGCAGCAGCAAAAGTAGCAGCAGTAGCTCCTCCTTTCGCTTAAACAGCAGCAGTGATGACGATAGCAGTGACAGCAGTTCCTCCGATGCGGAGCCGGTAAAGAAAAAACGCAAGCAGGTTTCACCCAAAAAACGTTCCGTGAGAGCTTCTAACAAGAAGGTTGCCTCGCGCAAGCGCAGTCGCCAAGCGGATGATATTGAAGACCAATTGGAGGCAATGCGGAGACGTCTTGAGCGGGAACAGAGCGATAAGGCTACGCAGAATCAACCGGAAAGCAGCAGTGACAGCCCTAGTTCATCTGATGACGAATCAGCTGGCGATAGCAGTGATACTTCCGGTAAGTGGTTCTAAAAAAGTAGTCTTTCGTTATCGCTACAGAAACTATGATCTTGGTCAGTAGTTCGAGAATGTTTTTTTTTAGATAACGCTCAGCTGTTTATTTCACAATATTGTGTTATTTAAAAAAATTCGCTCGATCAACTACTCGCTAGATTGATTCAATGCAATTAACCATTGTTTTAGTTTCAGGTCAACCCAACACAAACAACAATAATACCAGCAGTGATGATTCGGACGATGACAGCACTGCAAACCTGCACCTCAGCGCTTTGCGGGCTACACTTAAAGCAGAGGCAGCTCTGGAGGATCGGAAACCACTTAAACTGGAGCTACCGATACCCCACGAAGATACAGGAGGACCACAGCAGCAGGAGGAGCCCCAAAATGCAGAGGGTATTCTATCGCCGACCAACGATATTGAGCCGGGATGCAGTGCACCAAAGCGGCGAGGCAGCTGTAGCAACAGCACTCAATCCAGCCAGAGCGCCAGTTTGGCCAGCACTTCGACAGCAACGTCGAGTTCGGTTCCGCTTAGTTCGTTTAACTGGCGGGCAGCGGACTTTGTCGTTGATCTCCTGATGCGTGGCAACGAGGCGACGGAGGAGCACGATATAGCGAACTCCCTAATAGAAATGTCCACGTTGACGCAGCCCAGGGAGATTGGACTTTTTAACGAGCCGTCGGATGGAGTGGATATTTCCCTCAGCCTCATGCGCACCTCTCCACGCAACGCATCTCCAGCTCTAGAAGAAGATGCGAATCTGGGTATCTACTCGGATGGAGAGGCGGATCCGGAGGTGAGCAATGATCAGGTTGGCTATTCCCTGGAGGCCGCAATCGATGTGGTTGGCGAAGCAGAAATGGAAACCGCCGAGGATACAGCCACTGCCACTGAGGAACAAGACGAAGAGGAAGAAGACGCCGATGAAGTTGAAGATGAACAGGAAGAGGACAAAGCTGAGGAAGAAGATGTGGAAGAGGATAACAGCGACAACAACGATGATGAGGAGGATGATCCGGAGCCAAAAAATGTTGATCCAGACGATGAGGCCTGGACCGAGGCGTTTCTAGCCTAAGTTACTGGTTTTGATTTTTTAATATAAGGGAATTTTAAACTGGTTTCCGTCTTGTCTTGTTCCGATTTCTGAACCCCCTGAATCCAAAAGAAAAGAAAAAAAATACTTGTAATTAGATGTGTAAGTAATTAAAACCAGTAAGCGTTAGCTCAAAGTAGTTATATTCTAGGCCTAGTGTTGCCATTTTAAGTTGTACATATTCATCAGCTAAATCTTAAATTACTTTATATAAGAGTATATATGTATACATATTTGTAGACATCTATCAACTGCAACTTTATTTTAATTTTTTGCATATAGCCCACCCAAAAATATATTCTATACCCTTGAATATCTGACCCATCCTATCCCCACATCGATGTAAATGTATTTATTTAGGTTAACCACAGTCTACTATACTTACTACACATAATGTCAAACACCTTTACTGTTCGCAGCTTATAAGCCGTAGGGATAACGCTGGTCATTGTGCATGGATGTATGGCGAGAGTGTTAATGTTTTTGCATAAAGGGGCGTGGCCAGTTATGAATTTTTGTGTAGTCGACATACAAAGAACAGAAATATCTATAATACAAATCAAATACATAATAAATGTAAAGATTTAATGTAAATCTTTGAATTTTAACGTTTTTGTGCGTCAAGGGTGCAGTGTTACAGAATGTTATCGATAATTCATTTATTCATATTTTTGCAGCAATTAATATTTAAATTATTTCTTTTATATATACTTGCATTGGAAAATTGTTGGGAAATATTTCTTTAATTTTTTGTACCTCTTACACATTTTTCTAGGGTTGTGCACTGATATTCAAAGACTAATGTAACTCATTCCTAATGACTTGCAAGTTTAACTTTTCGTATCGTGTAGGCAGCCCCAAATCTGTTCATGTAGAGCATATTAATTCCGTTGTGTCTGCGCAGAAAACAGAGCTTGGCTCAGCCGGTTTCTTATTTCCAGGAACGTAAATTGTTATTTGTTTATGTGCGATGCAATACTAGTGGCCACATTTAATATAAACATTTAATCTTGAAATCAAGTAGGCTTTTAGTTTGCAGAAAGGTTTCAGAAACGACGGAATTGTATTTGTCGTTGACAACTATAATAATTTTCTCAGTCACATTGTGCTTCAGCTCGCAGCAATTTTGCTTAAATTGATCGGAAAATACATTTTCTAATAATGATGCAGCGTCATATGGTTCACTGGCGGGTCTACGTCTATGCCAATTCTTTGTATTCCTTGCCGGCACGCGAAAAGCCAGACTACCGCGATTGGTCACCGCAATATTTCCAGTAAGTTTTTCGCCAAAAAAGACTTTTTTTTATCTGCTTCGATCCCTTTCACAGAACTAATCCCTTCGAGATGCACCGGATTATGCTCTGGGTTAATCGGGATATATCGGTGCTTGTAAAATCCGGCAAGGAGGACATTTACATTCTCTACGAGACCGTCTTAAGCCTGCTGCCTTGTGTCAGCATGAAGAGTACGAAATTTAGGAACACGTTTGTCAAATATTTTGGTCTGACTGACCCTTCTCATTTTATCCATGAGCTAATCAACTTTGCCCGATCCCCGTATGATGACCTAATCGCCTACGAGTGCAACACTCAATACAAGGCTCAGTTGAATGATGACGATCGTCCTTGCACCTCGTGGATGGCCAGGGAACGCGAGATTTTATCCCTACGGCTGCACAACTTTGTGGAGTTCTCGCTGCGCATCAATCACGACGATTGCGGTGGCTTCGACATGGATATGCAGCTGGAGGATGAGGATTTCGGAGAGCTAGATGACATGTTGTTGGAGCGATTCAATCGCACCTTTTCGGTCGAAATAGACAGAGAGGTAATCGGATCCAGGGTAACCCATCAGCAACCTCCACCAGCGGCACAAGGCCAGCAGCAATCGACGCAGCAAACCCAGCAGACAGGACAACAGGCAGGACAGCGACAGTCATCGCAATCGGGACAGCAGCAGGCCACCACCTCCAGCAACCAGCAAATAGCCGGAGCTCCCTTTGAGGATCTGGAACTGGAGTTGGCCATCGAGCGCAGCATGTTTGATGCCGCCCAAGGGGCCGGAATCGTCCTGCCAGATGGCCGGTTGGTACGCTTTGCCAATACCCGTGTAGTGCGTGAAGCCAGAGCATCAGGATCCCGAGCCGGTTCGACAAATGCAACATCATCTACTGTGCGGCCACCATCAACTAATTCGGTTGCTCAGCGTTGCCGGCGGAGCCGCCCGCCTTACAGCCGCCCAGTTGCTAAAAGGCCTTAATTACAATGTCCTGCTGCAAAACTTCAAGCCCATCCATAATAGAATTCAACGCGTTGAGGACTTTGTTAATGCTCTCAAACACAAAAAAAGGGTTTAAAAGGCATTACAAATTGATAACGATAACGGTATTGGATAACTAAAAAAAAAAAAAAAAAGGGCTAGCCCGTCAATAAAGACATGCCGTGGAAAATTGCGTGCCAAATATGCCTTTAGCGCACATTTCCCTTTGTCTTAATTTCGGCAGAAAAGGTAGCAGTAGCAGCCAATCCCAATCCCCATCCACATCCCTTGTCACATGGCGCATGAAAAATTGAATTACACGCACTTTTGCGCATAAACGAGAAGCTAAAGAATAAAAAAAAGCAAAAATGTTGAGTGAAAAATGCGGCCGATTTAGGGTTTTAGCTGGAGGAATGGGGCTGATGTTATGGGAATTATGGGAGAGGATGCGAAGGGCCATCTGCTTGTGGTACAAAATTCTCGAGCAGCAAATTGAGTTAAATATTCCTTTTTTTCAGTAAGGCTTACTTGCTTTTCCCTTTTTTTTTGGCAGAAGGTATAATATAATTGTCCTGCCGTACACGGTAATTGAATGCATATTTGATTTTATGATTTCGTCGGCACAAGGCGCATTAATGCATATCGAATGAGGTCCTCCGAAATCGAATCGAATCATCATAATTGTCAGGGGGCGTAAACTTTGGCCATTAGGCCATCAAACTGAGAATAAAGGATCAGCACTGCAACGATAAAAAATACAGTTTTACCTTTTTAAATTTAAAAATGTTCCTTTATTTTTAAACCACATACAATTTGTTTTTTAATTTTTTTCACAACAAAATATTAATCTTAAATGTAAAGAAACAGGATAACAATTTATGTTTATAAGTCTTAATAAAACATGAACTTTTTTGTTTTTCTTAAGTGTATTAAAACAGAGCATTAAGATTTAAATCAACTTTCAAGGCATTTTTTATTGAACTAAACCGCACCATATTTGCCAGTATAAAAAACTTGAACCATCAAGCAAAGCCATCTGCAGGTGAAAACTGCATCTTGAAGCTGTCCAAAGAATTCCATCGCTCCATCAAGGGATCTCGGGTTAGCTTTGGAAAACTTATCCGTTAGTCTAAATGTCATTAGGGTTTTGTCGGCTGCATTTGCTTGGCTCGACTGACAAACTAATTTGCGTAATGTTGACGAAAAACTTTTTATTTGACTTGCTGACTTGGCCCAAAGCCGACCCTCTTTACCACCTCCTCTCCTGATTTTGTGAAAGACAGCCGAGAAATAAAAGCGAGACGATTCAAAACTTTCAGCCAGTTTGCACTGCATTTCAAGATGTTGAAATAGGGCGGGGTGGCAATTGTCGGGCTGCGGTGCCTTGGCTAAAAGTAGTTTGCCAGCCTGGATTTAAGTTTGCGTTGCAAATTACGTCGCCGTATTGAATTAAACGTTTCAAATATAACGCATACGCACCGCTGCCTCGTTGGCGCCAGCAAAAAGATCTTTAATGTGCATTTTATGAAAATGACCCGTCCCCGATCTGCATAAAATATTTATATATACCTCCGCCAAAGGCTCAAGATTTTCCGGAACCCTAACGAATCTCGCTTAAGTGTTCGGTACCGAGGGTTTTTCGTTGTTTGGCTTATCTCAAATTATGCGCGTGGCGTTGGAAAATTATAATAATTTCCACATTCGCCGCGGCGAGCAATTAATCAAGACTCCCGCTGAATGATATGCGGTGCGGGAGTTATGAGTTCGCATTTAGGCCGAATGTTTTCGGACCGACCCTGATTTATGGCTGTTCTCCGGCCACCTGTCGCTCCCGCAGCCCTTCGCTTCGCTTTTGCCTAACCCTGAGGAATCCGCCGACAATCTGCTCATCGCCCCGCTCGATATCCCGCTGCAATGTGTCACTTTCGGTTTTATTCTTGTCTCGGCTTAGATTTCCGCAGCCGACATCTTCTGACGTTCTCTCCATAAAGTCCTTCTTTCTGGAATTTGATTTTACACAGGACAAAATGTAAATCAGCTATCCATATGCTGGTCAGTATTTCTGTTTGAATAATTATCAAATAATTTCTTAATTTTTATATAGTTTTTTAATCGAAGTCTAAAATTCAAATTTCATAATATTTTTCCATTCATATTTTTATATAATAAGTTAACTTCTGTTGTATTTAACGAAATTTTAAAGTATTTGTTGTGAGGACAACATTTAGATATTTATCCTTTGCTTGAATTCTGCTTGCAGTGTGTTTAGCTGCTTTTCCCCTTTCGGCATTTGCCAACTTTAATATGTTGGCACAGCACGGAGGAACGGCGTTCGCGTCGAGTTTCCATTACATTGCAGCGGAAGCCGGATGTTGAAATTGTTGAGGTTGCTTCGCCAGCGTGGAAAAGTTGTGTGTGCGGGTGTAAGCAGCTTAGCAGACTCCTTCGACGGCTGGCAATGTTGAGGAAATTGCTGGGAACACCATGGCTACCGCGACGCGATTCGAAATCGAATCCGGACGCAAACACGAAACCCAATCGTGGTCTTTCTTTAAATGTTCAATCAAAAACTTCTCACGGATTCTCAAGGAATGATTCAATTTTTCCACAATTGTCGCAGCTTAACTCTTAAGCAGAAACTTGCTCGATTACGTAACCGCATTGGAGTGGAAAAGCCATAAAACAGTCATCACCGCTCAATAAACATGAATACTTTGCATTTTCCTCGATGATTTAGCACTAAACATTGCTCGAATAAATACCGATAAAAATGATAGTGTTTGAATGCAGTTTTCAAATAAAGATTAAAATAAATTAAAAAAAAAAAAAACAATTTAAAGTTTTGGTTTTTCCCATTTTGTTATTCTTCTATTGTCTTATAAATTCTAACCATTCCTAATATTTGTATTTGTATTGCTTTTTATTTGGTAGTCAGAAAAGGAATTGCCAATGAATTTTGTTTTATAGTAAGTGAGTTTTTTAATAATATATAATAATTTATGTACATATAATTTTTTTTTCTTATAGAAATCGAAGAAAACTTTATGTAAACAAGAAAAACATAAAGTTTAAATTCCCCGAAAAATTCTTAAGCTGAAGAAAATATAAATATTCTTTAAATGGGCGATTTTCCGATACTTTACTCTGTGTCGGCCTGTTGCGTGACATTCGATATTCGTGTTCTTTTTTTTGCGCTGCCGGAGCTGACTTTCCACTTTCTTGCTGAGGCTGAGAAAATGCGTGTGTCATAAATCTACTCCCGCGCCTTTCGCTTAAAATCAAGCTATTTATCACGAGGCGGCGAGGACGACGTCATGCTGCTGCTGCGGTGCCAGTCAGGATACAAGGATTCCGGCTGGATCCTGGAATGGCAAGATGCCGGAATGCCAGAATGCCACGATGCCGCGCTCTTATCATCATCGAAGTGGGCGGAGGCGCATATGTTCCGTAGCTGTTGATGCCACTCCGCAGGATTTTTTATGGGCTTGCCAACGCGGACCGCCTGCTGAGGTAAAAAGTTGCGGACAACAAACTTTCCTTCTTGACGCTCTGAGCTCGCCATTTTCGCTACCGCTTTTGGCTCCCTGCTGCGTGCGAAGGTGACAAGAATCCGGTAATTTGTGCCTTCAAGGTTAAATGTTAATGTTCGCCATTATACAAAACATTTGACGTTTTGTTATGGTAGCAGCGGCAAACGGGTTATGAACACGTGCGACAGTCCAAAAGGTCCTCGTTGCGTATACGCAATGTTTTATACTCCTGCTAATTTGACTGGAGCCAGGTAATAATGCCCCCCTCGGCCAGAAGTTTCCCTTAGTTTGCTTAGGCTGCCGGCCATAATTTAAAGAAGCCAAACTAAACAAGGACAATGTTTACGCCTAACTGTTTTTGGCCACTAAATGTAGAAGGGCAAGCCCAAAGGCTGTACAGTCGAACCTCGCAATCATTAACTGTATATTCGTAAGAACGTTATAAAATACAATAAATTTAAATGTTTAAAGTTATCTTACTTTACAGATTTAAATTTGAATTGTTATGAGCTTCGGAATCTCGGGAATTCAAATATTGCTGACATGAACAGGGGTCAAAAATTGCACCTTAATTTAATAAAAAAAATTCAATGCAATTTATTTATTAATCCCATATGCCATTTTATTTATTAAAGAGGATATACGAATCTGAAATGTTATAAGTTCTTTGTCTTCAATCTTTAACTTAAGGAGAACTGTAGTTGCGGGTTGACCTTTTGGGTCTGTCTTGCGAGAGTCTTGAAATGGCTGCTAGGCGACCGTCTTAATGGCAGCTCCAAATGTTGCTAATGTTAATTTAAGAAAATATTCCGACCCGGCCGAGTGTGGGTGTGTTGCCTGGAAACACTTGCGGTGCGGCAACATTTGTGCATTATTATTTGCGGTCAAGTCTTTTGTGGCTTGGCCTTTTAGCATATCCAAACCCCTTTTTTGAAACCGCAGCAAATAGCTTCGCCAGTAGCGAACTAATTAAAGAAATATTCATTTGAAAATACTTGTAGCTCCGTCGGAAATTACACACACGCACACGCACGCATTGACACACCGCTTTGGCTTCGCTTGTGTGACGTGCATGAGGCAATCAATTACAGCGAACCGTTTTGCCAAAAAAAGCGTGTTGCCTACTTTCCGGCGCCCGCGTGTTTGCCAACACAGCAGCACAATTAATTATGTACATTGGGGCCCCTTTTTCCCACCGTTACCCCTTCCACCTACCTTCCCGTTTTCTCAGCTGTTTGCCAAAGTCTGTGTTTGCCTACGCTGAGCGAAATTATTTGTGTAATTGTGTAATTTGTTTAATAGCAGTACTAGTTGTTTTATGGAAATGATATGAAAAATGTTTAAAATGATTACAAATAGATCTCGAAAGTTATATATTGCAATATTATAAAATTCTTAATGATATAAAGGAGTGTCTTTAAGTAGATTTTTAAGAAATAATAATAAAAGTAAAATGAAATTAACACTGACTTGAAACTTTTTTCCAGTGTAAAGACTAAAGAGCATGGAATGAGAGTCATCTTTAAGCTTAGACGACAGCATATGCTCATGCATGCCTAATTACGATAAATCCTTGCCCTTGCCCGCTCTCACTTACTAACTTTCTCCCTTTCTACCGCTTTCACTTTCTCTTTCGTGGCAAACTTAGTTCGCGGGAACAAGCGCGCCCAAATGAAGTAGGCAGAAACAAAAACATCAGCACCACTTCACAAGGATCCTTCGTATGTGTGTGTGTGAGTATAAGTGTGTGTGTTTCGCGTCTGTGAACGTATGAGTGCGTAGGCGTTCATAATTATGGCCGTATTTAGAGAAATTGGTTATTATGTGCTTAACGCCATTTGTCTGACTGGAAA